GAGATTTATTCTTCACCCAAGTGCAGAAGCAATGACAGCAGGCAGTTAGGTGGGCGGCTGCGCTGGGCCCCCTCCCCACAGCACACTATATACCTTCTGTTACATTCAAACCCATGTTAAGATGTCATGACTTTCTGATCCAATCAAAGCCAGTTACCTTGATCCATGCTCCTCCCCTTACCCAGGACCCCTTTCTCTGATGCCAAATAAGGTTCTTCCTTTCTGTATGTAAACTAATTTCTATCACCTTGAGTGTTAACATCCATATGTAAACATACACCCCTAAGAAACAAGGTCAGGACCGCTTATCTTTCTTTGTGAGGGGTCATCTGAACAAGAAGAGACTGTCAGGTCAAGACAGTTTATCTGCTTACATGAGTTGCTGCCTTTCCAGTCAGGAAGAGGCAAACCATGTCAGCAATTAGCACATCCTTGAGATTTTGAAAAGTGTTAAAGGTCTCATCCTCAAGAATGCAAGCTTTTGATAATCTAAAGTACAGTTAACCATACATACAGGAAAGGGAATATTGGCATTTTGCTAGGCCTGCTTTTACTTCATATTATACAATATATAAAGATAAATGTTTAAACATCTAAATGTCTTAATATATAAAAATGTCTACATGCCCCAACCTTCTAACATCCAGATGGCAAAGCCATGTCTTCAGGCCCTTTTGGAAGGCCAACAAGGTTGGGGCCAATCTGACCTCTGGGGAAATGATGTTCTAAAGGGCGGGTGCCGTGGACGAAAAGGCTGTTCTCCTGGGTCCCGTCAGATGGCACTCCTTGTGGACGGGACCCGCAACCTGCTTTTCTTACCGGACCTGGAAGGGACGGGTAGATGTGACTGGGGAGAGGTGGTCCCACAAATAAATGCAAATAAATACACCAGTGAAACTCCATGCTTATTTACAGAATTATCTGCTTTTCCACAAGAGCCACCTATGTCTTTATTGCTCACACGCACGCTGATTATTTCTCTTTCTGTCCTTCTCCGTCGTCTTGGCTTTCTGCTCCCTTCCTTATAAAGAAGCGGTAACCCTGACTTGCAATCTATAGTTTCACTTAATTGCCGTCCGATATACTACGTAATTGTGTTTCCCAGACAACGTGTACCTATTCTACCCATGTTGACTGGGGATGATGACTACAGTAATCCAACGGGAATACTGGCATTAGATTCTGCAAGTATGTTCCCCTGCGTTACCCTTCGCTTACCTTGCATTCGTCTTCGTGCCCGAGCTCTCCGTCGGTGAGTTCAATGCTGAAAGTCGTCCGGGCTCCTCAAAGTTTGAGTCCACAAAGTGCCGCTCGTCAAGGAAACGACAGTCTATAACAAAGGTTCCGTTCCGTTTATCTCCCGGAAGTCAGGACTGCAGAACAAAAGCATTTTCTCCTCCAGCTAGAAAGCCTTTGGGCTTTAATGCTTTTTAAAAGGTGGAGAAAGAGTGGCGTTTCATTTACTGATTTTTTTTAGCCTGGTCAAAGCTGTCTTATGTCACGTAAATGGCAACAGGACACAAGGGGTTTTCAGAAGTCCCAGCAGGCCTTCCCCTTCAACGACGTGCCTGCACAAGTAATGCTTTTACAGTCTGTAATGGGTCTTAAGTTCTCACTGGTCACAAAAAGGGAGCTACATGCATCCCTCCGAGGGAAACATCACATCACCATCCCGTCCTCCGGCGATGGCTCCTTTGGGACTAGGGACTGGCCCCAACCGATGCGGGAACGCCCCTTAACCCAACTCCGCCCCCAACTCAATTCCTAACGGCCAGTAGCGCTTTCTATGCCGGCCACGCCTACATACGACGCCCGCGTTTTTGCCCCGCCCTGGAAGGAGGGGCGTTGCATGGCGCATGCTCGGTGCCCTTTGTGTCCCGGGCTGGCTGGCTGGCGGGCGGGCGGCTGGCTGGCTGGCTTGGCAAAGGCCTGCCGCTCGGAGTGCCGCACCGTCCGCTGGGCCCGCTGTGAGAAGGGGACGGGAGCGGCGGTGCGAGCTCCGCCATGGTGAAGAAGCGGAAAGGCCGGGTCCTCATTGACTCAGACACCGAGGACAGCGGCAGCGAGGAGAACCTGGACCAGGTGAGTAGTGGCGCTACCGCCGCCGAACTGGGCCCCAGGGCTCCATCGCCGCCTCTTCCTGGATCGTTCTTAGTGGGTGCCTTAGGGCACCCCTCGGATCCAAACGGCTTTCGTCTCTCTCTCCCCGGGCTAGCGCGGAAGGGGAGTCACTGCGGCTCCTGAGGGAGGGGAGAGCGTGCGTATGTATGGGTCGCGAAGAGAGGGCTCTCGGCATTCGCAACAAACGTGGTTGAGTAGATGGAGTAAAGGGGCTTTTGAAACGCGGTGGTGTCGATGCGGTGAAGACGAGTAAAGCTGGGAGTTAGGCGAAAAGGATCCAGTCTGGCAGGTGGCAGGATGAAGAGTGTGTGATGGCTCTGGAGAGCCGTGAAGCTGAGATCTATTTGAACAAGTCTTCTTTGAGTCTCTTGTTCTCCCCTGATGGCTGTGGGAATGATGGGAGATGCGAATATCAAACTTACTTGTTTGGAACCGTTGTAACCACTTTCTCTATGAGACGTTCCTTTCTCTTTCTAAGCTCTATTTCATTTATATTAAAAATTATCCTAGGTTTTGTACCCATCTTTTGATTTGCAACCCTTGCTTGAACTTAGCCAGTTTCTCAATGTCTTTGCAGCATTTATAGGGTTCAGGGACTGTATCGCTGTATCAAAGAAGGTTCCCCCATATAGATTTTTTTTACAGTGCATTCATTGTTGTTGAGTTTTATATACTGAGATTAGTTTTGTCTCTAGGTCAGCCTTTTTTCAATAAGGCACCAATGTGGGTTACAGATACTATCATTCTTTGACAGCATGAAAGGATTCTAAATTCTAGTCAGCATGTCTTAAATCGATTTTTTGTGGAAGGCTGGTTTGATTCCTATCCATTAATATGCCTATTCTTCAAGGTTGTGCTTTGTGTATGAAAGCAATATAATCATAGAACAATGAGCAACTAGTGTAGAAACTAGGCCAAAATCAGTAAATTATAATATACCTTTTGGATAGGAGGAGTATCAAGGTCTTTGTCCATGTCTCCACTTGTATCTAACCATGGTACAAACATGCCCACAGTTTTTTGTACTGTGTCCCCATGACATTACTGTCACCTCATCTCCAGCCTGTGAAAGAGACAGGCTTAAGTTGTCCTTGGCTGTACCAGTGCTGTCAAAATATTTTCCTTTTTATTCTGACACCATCCAAGGACTGTCTCACGGTTCATAAATTGTTAAGATTCCCTAGGAGGGAACTTAGATGACTGGGAATAGAGGCACAATTGGTTTGGCAATAGGGACAACATATTTAATTCCAGTAGAGTTTCCTCCTGATTCAAGGATGATTTGAAAGCACAATAATTTGGTAATGATTTTCTGTGTTAATCTTGGGTTCAAAAGCAGGATTTGATTGCTGCTCTTGATGTGTATAAGTTGGGAGATTAATAAATATTTATTCAACAAAGAAACCATAGAATCAGGCCTGATTGTATTGTGTGAAAAGTCCCCTGATATCTTCTCTGTCTTCCTTGTGGTATCCTAAAACAGCGTTCCTGAGTCTAGGGCCTTCTAAATTGAACAAACTCTTATCACTACTAGTTGGCAGCAGCATGGATATGTAGACTGCAGATAATGCCATTGTGGTCTAACACATCTGATGGATGCTGAATCAGAGAAGGCTGAAATAGAGAAACAGTTACTGATGAACTTTTCTGGATCTTGAGCTCATTAGTTGTTCTATCAAGAAAAAGAAGTTTATAGTGGAAAAACTGAGGGTACAGTTTCTTGCAGAAGGTATTCATCAGGGAATAGGGAACAGGGTAGGGATCATAATGGGCAGTACTCTGCCTGCAAATATTTCTCTTATGCCTACAAAGTTCCCAGGCCTGTTTATTTTAATTTTAAGAATTTTTTTTTTTTTTTTTGCAATAACAAAAAGGGCAATTTTAGAAAATAAAAATCTTAGTTCCTTTGGTAGAACTTTGGAAGTGTATGCATATGCCCAGTAATAAGTATTTTGTGACTGGTCATATCCACCACAACCATTTTTATGAATAGGAGAGTGCCTATGATATTTATGTACTTTTATATAAAAATATGTATTCCATGCTTTTAATACTTGTATTTTAAACCATTCTCAATCTTACAAGTTCCCAAGTACTTTTACTATAGAATGAAGCCATGTCAGTATAAGGCTTTCTATATAGCCTGTCCTCCATTTCCAAGCAATTCTCAAAATTTTTGTTAATTTGCTTTAAGATATGAAGGTTTCAAATCTGTTTCTTTCTTTAAGGTGTATTGATCATATGTTCCTCAGGTTTTATGGCTACCTCTCTTTAACTCAATTACAAGTTTTCATTATTGTTATTTTCAACCTTCAAAGTTAGAATGGTTTCTAACACTAAGTCAGTGTCTCATATTTTGTGGCATGCTATTGAAGCTCAACGTTCTTTATAACTTATGAGATTTCTTTTAGGGAATAACTAAGCCCAGCCTGCTTCAACAGGAAGATGCCTGTTGTATTCAGGTGTTCACAGATGCCAACTGTTTGGAATGGGAAACATACTGTTGGAATGATGTGGTGTGAGGCCAGTTGATAGATATCTATGGAGGTCTCCAATCCTGTTCAGTTTATTGTAATTATGAACATTTCCTATTTTCTCTTTTTTAATGTGCTGATTTGGACAGCCAATGTGGCCACCAATTGTGAGGGATCCCTTGTTCCAGCTGCTTCCTCCTTTTAGATTGGATGGAGATCTATTTCTGTTATTGGAGAATATAAGGAATTTAAAATTGGTGAAGAAAACTACAATCTCAACCAGGAGTAGTTCCAAATGTTAACTAACTGTTGAAAAAGCCTTTGTATTGATCTGTTCACAAGTAACCTCAGTACCAAAGTGGCCAGCTCTTTCTCAAGGTTTGGAAATCCCAGAAATTTTTGTATGCATTTTCACTGTTAATGAAAACTCTGTGCAAGTTTCAAGCATATCAAGTTGTTGGTCATATTCTAGAATAGATGGAGTATACTTCTCAGATTCCATGGAGTTCAGCATTTTCCAACCCTGATAGATTCTGATCTCTTTAGATCTTTCTCATAAGGTTTAATCCTCCATCAACATATTTTTGAACACATAGCATTTTCACTCCTGGAGATAGCTCCTGAATTTTTTAACAGTTGGGTGTAGGAGCTCATCCTATTTCCCGTTATTCTTTCACTGGCAAAAAAGAAAAGAAAAGAAAGAGATCAAATATGTGATGTTCTACAACAGGTGTTAGTATCACTGTATCAAGTCTGATACCACATAGGAACTAACTCTTCTTATGTAACCAGAATAACATATAGTGGTAAGTCCAAGTGCTGTTTTCCAGCAATTTGGCCTGGAATTGAAGTTAATGCCCTTATTTTAAAGAGGCTGATAGCAACTTTACATGGTGTACCAGAAGATAAGGTTAATTAGTTATTTTCTGTAATGCAGTGTCTATAGGAACACCATTTATGTCTTCTCGTATTTATAGTTTGTGTTGGAATTTTCCTGTTGGAATTTTTCTGGCTTCTGCTGACCATCCTTCAAGGAATCATTTACTGTAGAAAAGTAATTTCTTGATGGTGCTCTCCTTGGCCAAGTGGATAAGCACTTTAGGATGTTCTCAATTAGGTAAGAATTATATGTTCATTCTAATAGGATTGTTCACAGTTTCATCAAGTTTGTGACTTGTCAAAAAGATGCACAAGGAAAGGTGGTATCCAAATCTACTATTAGTAGGTGGTTTCAGATCATATGTTGCTTTCACCCTACTAAGGTTGTCTGCCAGATGTGGGACTTCCATTCAGTTGATGCAAATACGTATTCCTCTACAACAAGAAGCATTAGAAGTGTTCATATCTGAGATTATTGCTTTTCTGTATATATTTACTGCCTGCTTCAACTCCTTTTCATCAAGAATAGAGAATATTTGTGCTTCTGGTCAGTAGCAGGTGGGCTCACTCCCATTATATCTGTATTGAGCAACTCTTTAGGAATGCATTTCCTCAGATTTCCACAACTGAAATTCTGTTTTCCTCTTGTTACCATATTTTTTCTTACCTTTTCTTCTGATTATATTTATTTGTAAATCTTTTCTAGTGGTTAATGCTATACTAGCTTCAAGTACTACAACTTGAGTGCAGGGGTCATTTTGGGAAATACTATTACATTTTTCTAATGTTTAATCCAATCTTTTATGGAAGAGAAATTAAAACAAACTTATGTGTTGACCAAGATAACACTTCATGGTTTACCTTGCTGCTAATTCTTATTCAGTCACAACTACAGCATGAGTTACTTTTGCTTTGAAAGTTAAATATGATTCTCTGAGAAACGATAAATGATTTCCAAATGTATACAGATAGTCCCCGGGTTAAGAACACCCAGTTTAAGGACAGCCCATAGTTAAGAACAGTCTATTGTAGCAAAATTTGAGTTAAATACCCAATGATTCGAGTTAAATACACAATATTCGAGTGAATTACACAATACTACTTATACAGTATTATACAATAATATTGTTCCGGCTTAGATACAAATTCAACTTAAAGACAGACTTGGGAACAGAACTTGTTCTTAAACTGGGGACTACCTGTATTCTATTCACACATCAAC